GGTGGGATTCAACTTATCAGTGAGTGCATACAGCATGTATGGGTTTATAGCTGAACTTGTACACAGATGGTAAAGTCCACCAGGACAGGACTGACCATAAGGATGTCCATTGATTAAGAGCATGTTAAGTCCAAGCCTGGATTTCTCCTTTAAACATTTTGATATCATTTATACTTATGAATCAACTGACAACTACAATTAACTTTTGTTCCTGTACTTATTTGCATACCCCAAAAAATATTTTATGAAGTGTACAAAACATAACAGACATGAGATGGAAAGAAATTTGCCATTGTGAATTTCTAGTCTTAAAGAAGATCCTCTTCAGGTGCCCCAAGACAAAGCATCCTTCAAACATTTTGCTGAAAGGCAACTTTAGATGCTGAAAACAGAGAAAGACAATGTGATTAGACCCTAAATTGTTCATTATATAATTTGCACTATTGCACTAATGGTTTGTTTCACAAATATTTTGTATATGAGAGAAAACAAATACCAAAAATGTGAAACCTCAGTGTAAAATCAGTTTTAGTGCAATAGAACCTGTCTTGAAGGACCACCCCTTCTGCCAAAACAAATATGATCTCTCAAGACAGCTGGTGTCTCATAATAGGTCATTATCGCTATATAATCAATAAATTTGTGCATTGAGAATAGGTCTCAATACAGGTGGTCTCACATGCAATTGGTCTTGTAAGACAGGTTTTACTGTACAGAATATACTCAAGTTCATTTGATATGGTCCACCAAGGTATGTATACAAGCATATGGGCAAAAGATGGCTATGTTACATCATCAAAATTTTGCAACTGATAATTGCAGTATTGCAAATTGCAGTTACACCTATGTTGATTCGTATCACAATTTTCTGTCAACAGTTACACTATTTTTGTATATTTTGCATGCATGTATCATTAAAGTTTGTCCTGGTACTTGTCAAGTTGTTTCCAGGAATTTGTAACACCTTGAGATTTTGTTTTAACTGAAAATGCTCATCAGTTTTGACCATGACCTTTTGAACTTGGGTAGTGTTCATCCTAGATCATTTCACATCTCCTGAAAAATTGTGAATGAATAGTCTGGCAAAGAATACAATACAAACTCCATATGAAGTTAAAGCTGATAATAACAAGTAACCACATAAAACAAGCATATCTTTATTCCAAAAGAAACTCAGTATTGATCTTAAATTATGTGTATACTCACAAGTCTGTATAAATCCAGAAAAGCTTTCAAGTAATACACTGGCAGATCTAGGTCTATGCAATTTTTTTAAGAGTAATCATATACGGAAATGTTCTTTGCAACTGGGTCTGTCTTATAAGAGAGTACATACTGTAACTAGAGCCATTCATTCTATCCTTAACCTCAAGTTCCTAGCAAAACAAGTTGAATATAGTGCCATGAAAAGGTTCCCATCAAAACAAGGTGAATATAGTGCCATGAAAAGGTTCCTATCAAAACAAGGTGAATATAGTGCCATGAAAAGGTTCCCATCAAAACAAGGTGAATATAGTGCCATGAAAAGGTTCCTATCAAAACAAGGTGAATATAGTGCCATGAAAAGGTTCCCATCAAAACAAGGTGAATATAGTGCCATGAAAAGGTTCCGATCAAAACAAGGTGAATATAGTGCCATGAAAAGTTCCCATCAAAACAAGGTGAATATAGTGCCATGAAAAGGGTCTTATCAAAACAAGGTGAATATAGTGCCATGAAAAGGTTCCTATCAAATGAAGGTGAAAGAGTGCCATGAAAAGGTTCCTATCAAATGAAGGTGAAATAGTGCCATGAAAAGGTTCCCATCAAATGAAGGTGAAATAGTGCCATGAAAAGGTTTCTATCAAATGAAGGTGAAATAGTGCCATGAAAAGGTTGCTATCAAAAGAAGATGAAATAGTGCCACAAAAATGTTTTTTTATAAAACAAAGGTGAATTAGTGCCATGAAAAGGTTCCTCCTACAAGTAGCAGGATATTTTTAAATGGACTGCCAAGTGAAGGATGACCAAATGACAAAAGTTCTGACCATATAACTGTAGTTATATCTAATGAGACAAAAATGTTAAAAGGAAGTGCCGTTCAAGCTAAAAATATTGTTTGGTTCATATCTTTTCATAGTGTAAAAATGTGTTGTTTTTGTAAATGTGTAAATAAATTTTTTAGCCTGACAATTCGTGATTCATACTTGCCTTATTTGTGTTATTACATGTTCTCTAAATAATAAAATTTCATTCAAATATCACATTTCGGATCTTTTTCTTTCTTTAAAAACAAAGTTAGCTGTTAAAAATGTATATTTTAATTGGGGGTGTTTTTTTATAAAAAAAAAATTATTATAACCATCATATGAGTTATAACTCAGTATGAGTAGTGACATGCTGGTGTTGAAAATCCTTCTGAAATATTTCTTTGATCCTCTCATGAGAGATAAATGAATTCATTATATGAGTTGAAGGTGTTCCAAAACAGCATTTAAGCCAAAATAACTTATTTTCATCTATCAAAGATAAATGTATCATCACTTGATTCAGTTGGCAATGTTACATTTGCTGATCAAGGCTGTGATAATCCAATTCAGGAAGAAAAAAGCTTTTGATAAAAATTATCATAAATTTAACAAATTTCACATCTGTCAATGAGTATCTGAGTAAAAAGTACAGTACAGCAAAAAGTAATGCTGAGCCCAAAATATTTGTTGTTTTTCAATTAATTTGCATAAAGTTTTCAAGGACACCATGAACAGTGTAAGAATGCTCCACACTAGAACTATACAAGCAATGTCTATTTTAGTCATTTATTTACATGTATATCATGTAAATGGAAAAAAGTGTGTGCTAAAATAATATTTTGTACCAGTTTGTAGGGAAAATGAGTTGGTTTATGCTGAAACTTACCAGATCATGTGGATACTGAGTGATTAGTTTTACTGGTTTTAATTTGGTTTGGTATTTTATCTTTCTTATTTGCAGTTTGACTTCACTTATGTGGGTATATATGGTATTATGGTAGTGCTGAGTGCCGCTCTCAAAGGCAAACCATGATAGCCAGCCTGGGCAAAATAGCTGTTAAAATAGTTAACATATGCTGTTAACGAAAAAGGACTGACAAATCTCACAAGTGCAAAAATTATTGACAACATGACATATCCCATCTTAGAAAAACAAATAATATTAAGATTCAAAGGTATAAAATTTTCAAATTAATAATTTTCATTCTCATTTAATAAATTTTGTTGCCCAGTTAATTACCGAAATGAATTTTTGAAGCTGATTATTCAATATGCACTTTAAACCTTTGCTTTAAAGAATATATGTAACCAACACTGAAACAACACATGCTTATAAACAGAGACATTAATTTAATTGGGGGGGGGCTGGTATTTTCTATAAAGCTTGAATTTAGAAGAGGGGGTACATAAAGATCATTATTTGTTAAACTAAAATAATGGATATTATTTAAGTTTTTTTTAGCTCAAACAAATTTCTGAGAGCCTGAATATTTTTGGAAAAAAAAAATCCAAGGCCAAATGGAAAAGTTAATTGGGTCTGACCCTATGAAAGCTCAAAAATACCACTGGAGATCATATTTGAAAAAAAGGGAGATACTTTAAATTTATCCAAAGTAATGTTATTACCCAATGTCTTATATCAATACAAATATATGCAGTAAAACAAAGACAACTCAAACACCAATGAGGAGTCACAGTGGCTTGGTAGGTTGCCATACTGGACTCAATACTGAAAGGGTACAGCTATTTTGAGTCCTACCTTCACATCTGCCCAGGTTGACTACCATGTCTCCTTGAGAGAGGCACTCAGCACCACCATAACACTGTATATACCCATATAAGTCAAGTCAAACTGCAAACAAGAAAAATCCTGATCTGACATACCATAATTCGTCTGCAGATCAGGGTATATGTTGTTTGTTTTACTGATTACTCCTAACAAACTGCAGTGCATCATGGGATGGCAAATGTGAGTCTGTGCAGTTTGCAGTTGGTTTTGACTTGTAAGTATATACTTATTTTGCTGTAACATAAAAAAATACCAAACCAAATCAAAACCAGTGAAACAATAATCACTCAGTACCCACATGATCTGGTAAGTTTTATCATAAACCAACTCTTCTTCCCTACAAAATATTATTTTAGCACACACTAACTTTTTTAGTTCTACAATTTAATGTCAAACACAGCAAAGAAATCAAAACAAGAAAAAAACAATTAACAAAAAAGAACTGAAAAATCTCACAAGTGCAAAAACTATTGTCAACATGACATGTCCCATCTTAGAAAAACAAATAATATTAAGATTCAAAAGTATCAAACTTTTCAAATTAATAAATTTTCATTCTCATTTAATAAAATTTATTAAAATATTTCAAATATTTTTTTATGCAAGTCTATTTGTACAGTTATATGGTGCAGAAATCTGCCCACCACACCTCCATCCTTTGACATAAATGCCCACCCCACCCACCCAACTTTATTTGATAAAATGCATGAAACTGGACCCTCTCCATGACTTTATTTGCAACACTGTTTAAATGCTAAATTCTGTGCTCCAAGTCATCAATCATTTTAATCATACAATTTTAATTCTGAGTCAAAATTCAAACATTTTCATTTTCAATAACTTTACTCAGAAGAAAGGTAAAATAAATAAATGTATGAATTGGCTAAACTTATTTCATGTACCATCTGCACATATCAGTTTAAAAACAGTAGGTTTTCTAAACAATTTTGTGTGTGTGTGTGTGTATGTGTGTGTGTGTGTGTAGACTTTTAATTTAGCTTTAAACTTTTTTAGTTATATAACTATGATGTCTGCAGTGTGGCAGTTTACCAGTATAGTGGTATCTAACACTGGCATCATGCTGCAGACATATAGTATTATGTCCTTCCAGTCACTATCCTGACACCAGTCCTAACACTAACCTCTTAATGTTGAGATCCAAGCGAGGCAGCTGTTAGTATGATTTTTATTAATCTTTGGTATGACTCAGCTGGGGTTCGAACCCATGACCTTCTGCATCAGAAGTGGATGCTCTAACTACTTAAGCCACAGAGCAGTGTCTAAATTCAGTTTTTCTGATATGGCAGGTGTTTTTTACCCCTGTGTATGAGTGCCAATTACTAGTAAAAAAAAAATTCAAAATTAATAAAATGTATGATGTACACAAACTGCACAAACCAAGACCTGTCATCAAGTAATGCACCAGCAGATCTGGGTCTGTGCAGTTTGTTAGGAGTAATCAGTACAATAAAAAAAACATACACCCTGATCTACAGGTTCATTATGGTATGGCAGATTTGAATTTTGTTGTTTGGAGTTTAAATCATCTTATAAGCAAGTACAGACAGAGGCACATCCTCTGAGGACAGTTTTTAATATTCTGCTAATATTTGTAAAAAAAAAAAATAGAATTGTGGATTTCCCAAGAGAGATTATCCTGGCAACTTAATTTTAAATTTATTCCTTATAACATAATCTCTCTTGAAGTCTTCCACACTTTTAAAACCTAGTTAAGTTTATCATGGTCAATACCAAGAAATGTCTGAAAAATGTACAGTAGTTCGGTCAGGCGAGTGGTCTAAATCGATGTCTGTTACGGATCACTGCCATCTCACCTCTGTCTTCATGGGTTCAAGTCTAGGATTCATCAAATGTGGATATGTGAGAAAGCTTGCCAGTGGTTCTTTCCGGTGATTTCCCGGTTTTCTTCCTCCACCATTAATACTGGCCGCCATGAATAGCCTAACATGTGCTGAAAAATGGCGTTAAGTACAACAACAACAACAACAACAAAATGTACAGTAAAATTTATAATCAAATTTACATATTTACAAAGTATAAAGACAGAGTGGGCCTACTGAAAAATATTTATAAAATTGTATTTTTTTTACAAATATTAGCAGAATATTAAAAACTATGTGGCAATAAAATGCCCTCATACAGTAATCAATATGATAGACTCCTTAACAACAATATATATTGTTTGATGGTTCTATCATAGCATTAGTAACCTGGTACAACAACGATGCTGATTTGCCATAGTATGATGCGCCTGCAGATCCAGGTCTATGTTGTTTATTTCTATGATCACTCCAATTAAACTACACAGACTCAGATCAGCCATTGTATTATGCAACAGCTTATCTGGGGCTATGCAGTTTTCAGGTGGACTCAACTTATAAGGGAGTGCATATGGTAATCAAAAGAACAAACAATAAAGACAATGATCTATAGCAGTGGTCCCCAACCTTTTAGTCACCTCAGACCAGTCAACTTTTGATAATTTTACTTCTGCCAGCTGAGGGGGGGTCGTTAATTGTTTATATTTTAGATTGATCTGATTTAATAATTTTAATTTAATTGCATTTAAACATGCCTTTAAAATAAAATACAGTTACACCAAAAATGAAGAATATGAAGTGAATATAAACCCAAGAGAAATACACAACAGTAAATAAAATGGAAATAATTTAATGTACCCTGGGCGGCCCGGTACCATTTGATTCAGTCCATGGCCTGGAGTTTGGGGACCACTGATCTATAGCATTAAAGTTATTGACATGTTAAAAGAAAAAAAAACAAATAACAAAATATTTAGATCTTTTTGATATCCCTCTTATATGTAATTTATCTTTGAAAAGAGTGACAAGAAGTTAATCATGACCAATCCTTGTATCATTGTGAAAAATGGAAAAACCTCCAATATCTCCAACCTCCAATATCAGAAATTAATTGCTTGTTTTAATACCTCTTTCTGAGATGAAAACACTTTCCATATTTTGTTATGTACTACTGCCCTCATAGACCAACCAAGTCTATACTAGGTGACATATTAACTTTGGCAGGCTCAAATTGTGCATGAAGTCAATTATTCACATTCTCCAACCTAGCATAAACATTTTCCTACCTTGATGGATACAACTATGGGTCTTGATATTGCTTTTTGTGATTTAATGTTTGCATGGATTTTTGCAGTGTAAATTGATTTTTTTTAGCTAATTAGATCCCTCCTAAACAAGGTGTTGAGATCATCAAATTAAATTTATCTGGGCCAATATATCATTTCTGAATTAGTGTCTATTAGGATTTGAGAGATTGAATAGTTTATGGTTTACTGGTACTGTATTGTCTGTCATACTCATTGGTATTATTAAGTACACAATTTACATAAGTGAATGTGTCTGTGAATGTGAAGGGTTTAAAGGCATGTCAGCACAATACTGGCTATAAATGGTACCAATTAGAAGCAAATTATTAAAGGGGAAACTATAATTGTAAATAAAACTTAAGGAAGATAAAAACATGATGTTTTACAATTTAGATATTTCATCTTAATCAGATACTAGGTAAGTAATAATTTTACATTTTTGAAAAATAAATACAAAGGTGGAAAAAATGTCAAATCCTTAACATATTGGGTCGAAATAAAGTGTAGGACTAACATTGCGGTAGTGATTTTCACCAGATCATCCTCTATTGCCCTTTTGCAATACTTCACATAAAATGCATGAAGTATGGGTGAAAGGAGGGAGAGACATGGTAACAATAGTAATGGGCCAATTATCAACATTTGCTACCATATATACATGCCTTTAAGACAAGTCCAACTGAAACCTGCACATAATGTACAAGCATATCTGGGTCTATGCAATTTTTAAGAGTAATCAGTAGAACAAACAGTATAGACACTGCATTAATTTATGGCAGATCGGGCACTGTATCATTTGCAGTTTGATTTAACTTATAAATGAGTATACATGGAACTTTTGTTATGTCTTAGGGACAAGAACTGTGTAGCAAGACAAGATAAAACCCAAGAAGCATTCAATTTTCTAAAAATATAAATTTATTTCCCTAAAATATAAAATCAAATGAAGTAAAAGAATTAAAAACAACTACCAGCAACAGTATTATGTGAATTTCTAGCATTTTCCTAAATGTACTAGCAATTTCACAGTAATCCAGAAACAATATGAAAGTATTCCAAAATGAAGGTTCTAATGTGCTCCTGTGCTAGCACCACAGAGAATATGTTTTAATATCCAAAAGTTTAACTTCAAGCTTAATCCAATGAAAGTTGGACTGCACAAATATTCTTGAATGTTTCAAGTAATCCAATGCAATTATTAAATATCCAAGTTTTTGAATATTTTCACAAATATCCTTCAAGGTGCTGATCTTGCATCCAATATGACTGGCATAGCCATCTTGAAAATCTTGATATGGTTCCAGAATATCAAAAACAGTTATGCATTCAGTAGTTAAAAACAAGAAATGGTCTTACATTGGATTTCTAGAAATCTAGCAAATTCAGTGAATTTTTTACTGCACTGAACCACTTATAAGTATACTAACAGATGTACTGACAGAAACATAAATACAGTATCCCCTGCTTTAATGGCTTTAAATGGGTGTAAACCAATGTGTGACAGATGGACTGATGGACACAAACAGGAGTAACCCAAAGTGTGACAGATGGACTGACAGACACAAACAGGGTGTAAACCAAAGTGTGACAAATGGACTGACAGAAACAAAGAAGTTGAAAACCAAAGTGTGACAGATGGACTGACAGAAACAAAGAAGTTGAAAACCAAAGTGTGACAGATGAAAAACTGACAGAAATATAAATAATATGACACCTGCTTTCTGAAAAAAGGCAGAAAACAACAAGCAACATTTCGTTTATAACTTAAGTGCATTTTTTTCAGTCAGGCTAAACCACCTTTTAAACAACTACTTGCATGTAAAATTTAGCACCATATATTTAAAAGAATTTCACAAAAGTTATAAACTACTACACAGGCAGCTGATGTTTAGGATTACAGAGAGAAAACCTTAATTAAAGAAAATGCATAAACAACCTGCCATAGGCACTTGCTTATAAGTCAACTCAAACTGCAAACAATAACGGTCTTGATCTGTCATGGCATAAAGTACCTGCATATCATGTGTACATTGTTCTAGTCTGCACAGACTCAGATTTGCCAGTGCATGATGTGATGGCAGATTTTGGTTTATGCATTTTGCAGATGGACTTATAAGCAAGTACATATGGTACATGAAATTATTTGGCTAATCAACTACTGCAATCTGTGTCAGTCTTCATTATTAGGCATGATATATAAGGTTTCTTTGTTTTTTTAAGAATGGATGATTTTAAATTAAGTGCAAGTATTCAAAAGTCTACTGTTATTAAAAATATTGTGAACTGAAGCAAATTTGATATTTCAAAAGAAATTTCATCACATGTTTGCCCATATTAAAATTTCCCTCATTGCTCAGAATTCCTTGGTTAACTTTTTTTTTTACTTTTGAAATAAATGCAAGTTATTCTGAGTTTTCATAAAATTCCCTGACTTTCCTGACAACTAAAAATCTACTGACTTTACCCCGATCTGTGGGAACCCTATTATCTTGTACAGACTTGAAAAGTAATCATTTTCAGTCTTGTGAGAAGTTTTAACATTAAAGGGCAATTTTTAATGGATACCATACAATAGCAAATGTAGGACAATACCACAATGACATCACTTGGTTTTGCAAAAGCCTAATAAGTTTATTTGGTTTTGCCATACTATAATAAGTTCACTTGGTTTTGCCTTTCTGTAACAAGTTTACTTGGTTTTGCTATACTGTAATAAGTTCACTTGGTTTTGCCTTACTGTAACAAGTTTACTTAGTTTTGCTATACTGTAATAAGTTCACTTGGTTTTGCGTTACTGTAACAAGTTTACTTGGTTTTGCTATATTGTAATAAGTTCACTTGGTTTTGCCTTTCTGTAACAAGTTTACTTGGTTTTGCTATACTGTAATAAGTTCACTTGGTTTTGCCTTACTGTAACAAGTTTACTTGGTTTTGCTATACTGTAATATGTTTACTTGGTTTTGCCATACTGTAATAAGTTCAATTGGTTTTACTATACTGTAATAAATTCACTTGATTTTGCCATACTGTAATAATTACACTTGGTTTTGCAATACTGTAATAAGTACACTTGTTTTTTTCCCACCATTTCTTTTAAATGTTTTTGCTATGTTAATATGTTTAATGGA